TTGTAGCCCGGCTGAATTCTCTTGGCATATTTTGTAATGCATTATGGTTTATTGCTAAAATTGACCTATTAAGCATAAAATATGGAGAATGCATGGAGTTTCTGTCAGTTTTATGTTGTTTATTTGGACTTCCGTTTTCTGTTTCCTAAGATCTTACTTCTTGTTGTCCTTTTCATTCCTAACCTAAGTAATAAGCCCAGAGAGTCATGCTGGTGGTATCCATGGTATCCACTCTGGTGCATTAAGATTATAGCATTAAAAAGCAAAATCTCAGCTTCACCTCAACTCTAGACACAAAATTATGAGCTCTTCATAGACAGGACCCAAATATTAATTAATTAACCCTGTGTCCTTAGTGCTTAACCCTGGCAAATAAAAGGTCTTTAGTAGATGTTTATTGTTTGAATGAGCAATTAGTTTCAAATGTTTCTTGAGAATCAGCCTTTTAATAGGTACTATTCCTAACAAAATTTGCTTAGATTTTGTACCCAGGGTGCAAAACTTAGAACTTTTCATTTTCTTTCTGGACACTAGACAAGGACAGAGAATAATCACTGTGTTGTTGCTAGTGCTACATTTTACTGAGCCCAAGAAACTTCCACACATGTGACTGCAGTAGCAGCAGCTGCTTCCCATCTGGCATTATGAAAAGGTATACACTGGGGACTTCCTAGGTGCTGGGTGCTGTGCTATCCAAATCGATCCAGATCAAAAAACGGGGTCATTGTCACCATCTGCCAAGGCAGTTGTATTCAAAACAGTGAGTCTCTCTTCACCCCCTCCCACCAATTATATGCACATTCAACTGAAGAGTTGAAGCAAACTGTCAGCAAAACAACTGAAAGTTTATTTGTTTATTCCAGGCAGGCATCCCTCCAACTGCAAGCTTCTCAAAGCATATTCTTCTAAGACTTTGTTAAAGTGCACATTTAGATCTACTAGGTCTGGGGTGCAGCCTGAGAGTGCATTTCTAACAAAATCCTTTAGTTAGGTCAGGCCTTGATACTTCAAGTGTCATCCATGGACCAATAGATTTGGCATCACCTGGGAGCTTGTTAGAAATGTGGACTTTTAGCTGCCATCCAGACCAGTTGAATCCGAACCTTCATTTTAACAGGAGTCTCACATTAACATGTGACAAACATTGCTCTAACCATTTAATTAGCTGTCAGAATCAATCACAGATAGGGTCCTAGTTGGGATAGGGGATGGAAAGTAAGGCCAGGAGTGCTCCGTGTTCCCTTTTTCATTTCAAAATCTATGCCTGACACTTAGCACAAGACACAAATGATGCCTCTTTGTTCAGTCATTTGGTGGCATGATGAATCTGTTCTTACCCATCCTGATTGCTGTTGTCTTTAAGCATAGGGGCCCACCTGACCAACCATTTCCCTAAGAACTTCCTTGTAGAGGAAAAGTTTTCCCCAGAAGAGTCAACCTCATGATCAGCCACATCAGAATGATTCACAGGTTCAATCCAGCACTAGGAGATCAGAGCTTCTCTGTGCTCATCTATAGAATGGGGATGATGATACTGCCCATTCTGGTTTCCCTTATAGCCTTATTTGTGAGGAAATTGAAAACAGGAGCAGGAACTTTGAAAACATAAGGTTCATAAGGTGAAAACTGCTTCAGTGAGAAACCTTCATGTGTGTTTCAGTGACAGAGATATGGGTTCAAAATTTAGCCTTCCCATCTCATAACCTTGTGATTCCTAGCAATTATTCCATCTAGTTGAACCTCCATTTAAAAAATAAATGGTCATAACTTCAACCATACAATGTGTGGGGAGGATCAGGAATGTTAGTGATATACGTGGAATTTAATAAATGGTGGCCAAGAGCTACAGTTAAGAGACTCAGCTGGGAAATAAGCCTTCAAAGATGTCTTTCCCCCCAAGGAAGCCTGTTAAATGGAGACAAAATGAGAAGGTCACTTTAAAGCTGGTTAAGTTTTGAGTAAACACCCATCTAGTTCAAGAGACTGATATCTTGAAGTTTGTTATTTAAGTATGTCTAGAAGAAAAAAAATCTCGAAATTTCAAACGAGATTTAACATTAAAAAAAAAATTTCCGAGTACCAGCCACTGAAAGATTTTGAAGATTTGCCATGATCATTCTGTCCCATTCACATGCTCCCATCTGAGGTGACAAATAAACTTTGTGGTGTGCACGAGAACCTGGCACATGTAATGGTGTCCACACAAGTGGACACTCCAGGCCACAGGAGACAGCAGAATCATATAAACCCATGAAAGAAGATGCTCTGAGGGCCGTGGGAATGGATGGTACCCTCATTATCAGAATAACAGAACAGCCAGTCCTCTTTACTGGAGACGTTGGAAAGGCAGCTGCTGGGTTGTGACTGCTTCACTCTCAGCAATTAAGCATTGGAGACATAGAGGGACTATTGTCTTTTTTTTTTTAAATCCTCACCATTCTCTCTCTATCTTCCCAACCTCTAGCTCACCCTTTTATTTTGGAAATGCCCTTTTAAGACCCTCCATTTTTCTCAGGCCTGTTTTCAAGCAGGCTAAGCGTTTGGGAAGTTATTCTTTTGGGCTGAGATTGCCCCTTCCTTTCCCTAGAGTCCACAGCAGTTTCCCTGGAGTGTGATTTTACAGACTGCCTCAGGCAGCGAGCCTTGTGACCTGCTTTTCCACATGGATCTCTTTGTTGGGGGAGGCACTGAATGCTCAATGACTTTGAGAAGGAGGGAAAAGAACCACCTCCCAGATAGGGTATTTCAGTGAAAACCTTCTTAGCAAGATGGCAGGGTGGGGAGAGAGGAAGTGAGCAGGCAGAGAGAGTGCAGGGAGCCACTCAGCAGTCTGGCCAGCAGTTCTGAGCAAAGAGCAGCATCTGTAGGAGGGAATGGAGATTTCTCAGGAATATTTTTTTTTTGCCTTAATAACTTAAGATCAAATGCATCACCAAGCCACTTGATTATGGGACAACAGAATCCATTCCAGGTGGGAATAAAGCAGTTCAGTGGGATTGTGCTTCAAGTCCTTTTAAATAGATTCCATGATGGGCTCTTCTGAATCTGTTAAGAGTATGACCTGTGGGTGGGAGCTCTCACCTCCAGCACTTTAAACTAGTAGTCTTTGGGGGAAATGTGTGAATAAAAGGTAAAAAGAGATAAAGCTCTGGCTAAAGGGATATTCATGAACCGGCAGGTTGAAGGCAGGTTGAAAGATATCACTTTACATGGAAAAATGAGAATTCATACCCCATTTGAATCAAATGTATGATATGTCAAGATCATTGTATTGTCATGAGAAACTAATAAAAGAAAAAGAAAGATATCACTTTTTATAAAATCAGGTCACATGGAAAGAGCATTTCCTAGGGGGTCAATGAAAGAATTTCAGTCCCAACTCTGTCCTCTTCTAGTTGTAGAACCTCGTTAGGCAAGTAATTTTATTTCTTAGAGATTCAGGAAGAATACCTGCTATAAATTTACTGTAGCTGCTATAAATCGATAAACTTCACTTAATTTTTTGAGGGTCAAATGAGACAATTGGAGAAGAGAACCTTGAATACTTAAAAGTTGTTCCATCCAATATGGTAGCCAGTAGCCACATGTGCCTGTTTACATTTAAGCTAATTAAGATGCAGTAAAAGGTAACACAGCCACAATCCAATTACTCATTAGACACATGCGACTATTGGCTATACCGTATTGCACAAATATATATGTGTGTGTGTGTGTGTGTGTGTGTGTGTGTGTGTATAACATTTGCACACTATCACTGAAAGTTCTATTGGACAACTCTGTGGCAAAGTGCTAGCTAGGCTATGATATTAAGAATATAAAAAAGTGGCATATTGTAGGGGTGACATCCTGTCATAATTAAGAATTGTTGGAGAAAAACAAAATTCACTCAAGTTAGATGAATTAAAATAAGGGATTTATTTGACTAATGGAGGAAAAACAAATGGATCCCAAAGGCAGGAAGCACAGCTAAGCTTCAAGAGGATTTAGAACCACTTCCTAGATTATTTGAGACTAAAGAAACCACTTTTCCTTTCTCATTGTCTGTCTCCTTTTTCTCTTCTCCCTAAGTCCTTTTGATCTTTTATCTGTTTCTCTGAGTGTTAATAACTATTTCTCTCACCACCTCCTCCCCCTCTTCCTTCCTTCTCTTCTCTGATTTCTTCCTCTTTGGTTTTACAGTTCATCTTTCTCAACTTCACTACACATGGTCCAAATAGGGCTCAACCAGGCCCAGTTTTCATTACCTTTCATGAATCATATCCAACAAAAGTTGGAATTTGTAATTTGTAATTTGATTCCAAATTCCCTGGAGAGAAATTCTGTTTAGCCAGCTAGGTGAGATAGCCACTCCTGCTCTGATCATCTCTTCCTGGAAAAGGAGGAGTAATGATATACTTACTCAGGAGGGGCAATGGAGGAAGCTCTGAATCCAAGGAGACTATAAAGGTCATTGGCCTACACACTTGCCCTTGCTACCTTAGAGAGGCCCATTGAGCTGTGATCACCCAGAGAAGAGCCAACAGAGATTTGACAAAGGTGGAGAAGGAAGAAAGTGATGCCTTTTCTTCTATAGTCATTTGTATGGTTCACTGCACCAGTGCAGATTTACAGGTTTAACTTCCTGTCTAAATACCTAAATAGAAGCCCCACAGCCAGGAAATGGTGCCTAAGCCTCTGTTCGTTCATCCGTTCTTCCTTCCTTCCCTCCTTCTCTCCCCTTTCCTTCCTCCTTTCTTTCTTTCTCTCTTTCCAGGGATTGAACCCAGGGGTGCTTAATCAAAGAGCCACATATCCAGCCCTTTTTATTTTTAATTTTGAGACAGGGTCTCACTTAGTTGCTTAGGGTCTTGCTAAGTTGCTGAGGCTGGCTTTGAACTCGTGATCCTCCTGCCTCAGCCTCCTGAGTCACTGGAATTACGGATGTGTGCCAACATGCCCTGCTCTGTGATTTCTTAAATGCAAACAGACCACTCACAAATTCCCTTCTCTTCTGCCTTTAGGAAGGAACATGAAGTTCCCTTGGATATCACTGAAGAAGAAGATGGGAGGGGCCATTTAAGAGAGATTATAAGTTGGAGGCTGCAAGGCTGGGGCCAGAAGGCTGGCAGTGGAAAACGCTGTTGGGCTGTGATCTCTCACTGAAAAGTTCCAAGTGCCTTTTTGCTTCCTGTCAAAGAAAGGAAGAGAAGGAGGAAACCATGTCTATAGCCCTGAAGCAGGTGTTCAACAAGGACAAGACCTTTCGGCCCAAGAGAAAATTTGAACCTGGCACACAGAGATTTGAGCTGCACAAGCGGGCTCAGGCATCCCTCAACTCAGGCGTGGACCTGAAGGCAGCCGTGCAGCTGCCTAGTGGGGAAGACCAGAATGACTGGGTGGCGGTGCACGTGGTGGACTTCTTCAATCGTATCAACCTCATCTATGGCACCATCTGTGAATTCTGTACCGAGCAGACCTGCCCTGTGATGTCAGGAGGCCCCAAATACGAGTATCGGTGGCAGGATGACCTTAAGTATAAGAAACCGACTGCATTGCCAGCTCCCCAGTACATGAACCTTCTTATGGATTGGATCGAGGTCCAGATCAATAATGAGGATATATTTCCAACATGTGTGGGTAAGTCCATGACCAGCTTCTTGGGTTTTATTTATTTATTTATTTATTTGTTACCTATCCCTACCCAAGCTCAAAAAGTGTGCAGAAGGGGATTCTCCCCAGCTGCCTGTAATGCTGGACAATACCCATGGCAGTGTTTCCCCCAATTCTATTTTTATCTTTTCTTTTTTCTGTTTGGAGATTGAACCCAGGGGCTCTGAGTCATATC